GACTAACTCGGTGTGAAATCTTGCGACAAAATAAGTTGGTTATGTTAGTTAAGGAAACGACTTGCCTTTTAGCTGTCAATATAGCCAACCCACTCGTCACCCCGTGGGTTATACTTGAGCCTCCAAGACATGTTGGTAGATTATCAAAGGCGAAATTGGTGCTTGAACAATATTTTAAGCAGTGTATGTGTTAAAGCAAAACAATCTAACTGTGGTTTTTTGGATTTCTCACGGACTAGCTTGGCATTGTCGATAAAAGATAAAGTTGATAATGATCTCGAAGGTATTGGACTCCTTACTGTTCCCCACATTATAAGCATGGTGAGGGAAATTGATTCTGTTCCCCTCATTTTATTCCTCTCTCAGACCTGTATGGGATTATTAATTTAGGTAAACCGAGTCTTTTATGATTTCCTTCTTGATCTAGCCCCCCTAGATTTTCGCTTCGGCAGTAAGGACCACCAACTAACTCTGAAAGACATGCCTGCCATTCGGTAGTGTCACCAGTCTTGACAATCTTCCGTTCTTACTGGCTTACTTCGTTTTGGCATCTCTGCATGTACAGTCGGCAGGGTGGAAGCGGAGAATTGAGTTTGAGACGGTGACGAAAGGCCGTGGCGATGGATTGCAGCGGTTACGTGCGAAGGGCGATGCCGCAGTAAATCCTACCCCGAGGACCGTGCCACCGTCGCTTGCACCGTCTACGGTCGTCCACTCGCCGTCGTCCTTGGCATGGCTGACCTCGTACTCGTCTAACACTCGTATTATAGGTCAGATTTCCTTACTTCCCTTTTCCCTCCCAGAAGTTCGCGTCGGCCTTATTTCTTAGGTTTGTAGTATTCGTGCATTTGGTTATTCAGTTTATTCAGCTATATTAAACAAATGAGTGCAATTAACTAACGATGGGTCTTCACTCTTCTCAGTTATTTTCAAAATGGGAATCTGAAGGACCCCAGCATCGAGACGGATGCTTGTAACAGAAAGGAATACCCGCCTAATCCTGCATGCGCATGGTGATACTTGTTGTTATAACCGTTAGATTGCAGGTAGTGCACTCCGACAAGAAGCTGCGTCAACACTGAGTTTTGTGTGCCTGGAGCCGTACAGGCACAGATATTGGCTACTCTAGGGCAGAGTGCTTCGTCAGTCTCGACGCCGCCATACAGCACTTCCACGATCTCTTTCTCAAGAAGACTGCTGACTCCTGGGGTATCGAGGCTGCCGACTTTGTCAAATTGCAACGTTGTATTTTCCTCTCAAACTGGAACAAATTGATCCCAAGGTAGACAACATCATGCCATCTCTATATTTCTATTTCAATGTACTACGTATCTAAAATATAAATC